AGGACGGCCATGCTGGTGCGGGGCGGCGAGGCGCGCGCCGCCATCTTTGTGAGTGGCACGGCGGCGGCTGGTGACGCTAGGCCTCCGCGGAGCCCCACCTCTGGCTTTCAAGGGCCTTTTTCTTATTTTTTGTGGTTGCCCAGGGTCTTCGTACTGATCTATATCCCCCACACCTTACGTATTTTGGGAGAGTGTCACTAGCTCTGATTTGCCCAGGTTGAGCTGGAACTTGTGATTCTCCTGCCTCAGCCTCCCAGAGTTCTGGGATTATAGGTGTGCACCACTGCACCCAATTTACGGAGGTTTTGTTTTGTTTTGTTTCGGTCCAGAGATGGAGCAAGGACCGGTGCATTAGGCCGACACTCTAGTGCTGATCTATTTCAACAGCACCGACAGGATTTTCTTTTCTCTTTCAACTCCCCCCTCCCACACACACACTAGTGGGACTTGAACCCGAGGCCTTACACTGGGCTACCATCCCAGGCTCCCCTCCTTCCCCACTCTTATAAATTTTGTTTTTATTCAATGATCAGTGCTTTTTATTGCATAATATTTAGTAGTCATAGTCAATCCACAAGGCCAACAGAAACGTGTAAATACTCTGCTAAGTAATCTAGCACACTATTACATTTTTTCAAACTAATAACATTAAAATAATGCCTCTCTCCTTCATCCATACAATTTTGCAAGCCGGGGAATAAATAAAGATATAAACGCGCAAGAAGTTTTCTTTTTCTTTTTCTTTTTTGGTACCGGGAATCAAACTTGGGTCGTTGCACTTGCGAGGCAGGCGGTGGCGCCACTGAGCTAAACCCGAGGCCCTGAAATAACTTTTCTCAAAGTAAGATTACCAGTGAGGAATGTAATTGTACTGCATACTTAAAGATACCGATAAACTCAGTAATGACACACAGAGAAAGCAAGTGAGATTAATGGAGGCTAAAATTGGGCCCGGGATTTAGCTCACTGGCGCCACCGCCTGCTTCGCAAGCGCAAGGATCCAAATTTGATCCCCAGTACCCCCCACCCCCAAAAAGCTGCTAACCTGTGTTAACTCTTTGTGTTTTGTTTTGGTACCGGGGATCGAACTCAGGACCTTGTGCTTGTGAGGCAGGTGGCAGAACCACTGAGCTAAATCCCCAGTCCCTGTATTAACTTTTAATAAAAAGTAACTAAAGTTTAGAACATTCTGATCAATATGGGTCTGAACATGCCTTTCAAACCCCTGTTGCCCATAATCCGGAGGGAACTGCTCACTGCACATTAGGAACACTCCCCCCCCCACTTTATACATTTTGAGACATGGTCTTGCTGTGTATCCCAGGTTGGTCTTTGAATTTGAGGTCCTCCTGCCTCAGCCTCCCAGAGCTGGAATTACAACTCTGAACTACCAGTCTTACCTCCTGGGGGAGTTTCCTCAGGTCTCTCAGCCCCAGGCCTTGCTTTGTCCCCACCCCCTTGCTCCCCGACAGCCTGCCCAGCCCCCAGCCTTCCTTCCCAACCAGCCTGGGCTGGGCATGGAGACTCATGACGCCGGGACACACCTGCAAGGCCGGCCCTGTCCCCAGACTTCTAGGCTGTTTGGGAAATGATGAGCGTCCCCCAGGGTGCAAGGCTGAAATGAGAGGTGGAGGCCTTGTGCCTTGGAGGTAATAGGGAGCCACGGGAGGTCTTACCCAGGGAGCAGCATGACGTGGTCAGGGCTGTGGTGCTGCAGGACAGAGAAGCAGTCACTGGAGGTTTAGGGTGCAAACCCCAGCTCCAGAGTCCAAATGCACCCCTTCAGCCATCGGGCCCACGGCTATCACAGCAAGGAGCAGGGGCAGAAGGGGCTGTAGAAGGCGTGGTCACGTCGGGAGGAAGGAGGAGAGGGTCAGGATCTGGCTGGGAGGGGCTGGCTTTGGGCTTCACAGAAAGGGGGATAAAGAGCCGGGCGTGGGGGTGCACGGCCGTAACCCTGGAAAGGCAGCTCGTAAAGACGGCGCCTACCTTCTCCACCGGATCTGGGTCCTCCCCAGAGTAAGTCAGTGACCATGACAGGCAGATGTTTGGGACTGATTCAGGACACTGACGCAGCCAGGACAGCACAACTAAGGACCCTCGGGAAAGAGGACCCCAGAGCGGCTGCAGGAAGCCACAAGGACGGTGGGAGCGGTGTGTGCAAAGCAAGGGTTTTAAGCAGGAGCCATAACAATGCGTCTTTCACAACAGTTACTTTTCTTTTTTTTTTTTTTTTT